AGCCTTCCCCCCCACGACTTCCCAGAACCCTACATGGTATAGATTTTTAACAAAAACAGTCTAAAATATATTGGAAAAAAGAATAAAAAATTGATAACATCTTTACATTGAATTTAGCTCCTCCTTGCTAAACTAACTTTAAACAATTTAAATCATTGCAATATTCTTCATTGATGCAATCAAATCTACCCTCTTTGTGGCTGATCACCCCCTTTTTTTCTTCCATCTTTCCTGACATTATAAACCTCTCTAGAGAGCTATATTTTCACATAATGTGTTTTAAATATGACATAGTGAGGCATGCATCAAGCAAGTTTTCCAAAAGCAGATAAATGAAGCCATATTTCTATTCATTTGTAGTGCAGAGGGGCGGGGGAGAAATTTGTCCTGCCAAGAAAATTATTATCATAAAGATTTTTTATTCTGAAGTTTTTGGAAGATTTTATCTCCTTTTGCTACTTGTCTTTTGACAAAAAAAATCCTTCACACAAATCATTTCAAAGTGATAACCTGGAAAGAAATCTTCCTGTAACAAAAACCACTAAGGGAGATGAAATATTATTATTCTCATCAATGAAACTAGTGTCTGTGGTGATTCAGTTTCATGTTCATCCAGCCAAATTTTTACAAATAGCAATCTATCCTTGATTTATAGAGGCAAAAAGGGGGTCTAAATATATCCCAGAGCAGTATTTCTTAACTTAATTCAATTGGACAGTATTTCCTAATGCCCTGAATAAATAGTGATTTCATTTCCTGAAATGTGTGATGCCACAGATATGGTGTATGTCTATGGCCTGATAGACAGAGAGCTATTTTCAGCTGTTTAACTTTGCAGACTGATAATTATTTAGTATTTATTTTCTTCATCCATGGCTGCTGTTTCACAGACAAGTGACTGAGTGGTATACAACAAAGCTAAAAGCCATGTATGCTGACAAATATTAACATTGTTATGTTTTAAAATGTTAAAATTATAAAAGGCAAAAAACTATATAGATCTACTATATATAGCAAAAAGCAGCTGTTAATTACACTGGAGCCATCTCAATATTTCACCAGTCCCCTAAGGTCCTTAGACTTGATGACATAACCACATCTTGAGGGACTACTGAAAATTTAAAATGAATAAGGTCAGACTCTCTTTTCAGGAGAAGACTGTTCCATAAAGTAGGGATCCACCAAGCAAAGCTGCCTATTTGATGGGACCATTGCAACATGCCGCCTTTGCTGGATCTAGAGCAGGGGTCCCTAACCCCGAGCCATGGACTGGAACCAGTCTGCGGCATGCTAGCAACCAGGCCACATAAACATATGAAGCCCCCTCTGTGGGACACAGGCAGCACATGAAACCACACCCTTTCCTGTCTGTGGAAAAATCTCCCTCCACAGAACCAGTCCCTGGTGTCCAAAAAGTTGGGCAGATAGAATCAGGGATATGGCCTCATGCCATGGCTTTAAAGAACAAAACCAGCACCTTGAATTGGACCCAGAAACAGAGGAGTAACCAATGCAGCTTGTAGGCTAGCAGTGTGACTTCTTGAAACGCACATAACTGCCCATGTGATTGTAATCTGTACTAGTGAAGTTTCCAGATACTCTTCAAGGGCAGCCCCACGTATATTCCATTACAGTAGATCAGCTAGATGGTGATTAGCGTAGTATAAGTGACTGTGAGTAGATACCATTGAGCTGGAAATGGGCACAATTGTTGCACAATGCAAAATTGTACCAATTCCCTTGTAGCCACTGCTCCTTGAATTGTGAGTCCAGGAGAACTGCCTGATTGCACACAGGGTCTGTTTGGGACAGTGCAACCCCATCCAAAGCAAAGATAGTATAGTCTCAGAACCAATGGGCCCCAAGGCCAGTCAGTCTTGTTGAAGCCTGTTGTTTTCCATTTACAGCCTCCAGGCACCAGTTTATTTCATCCACAGCAGTGGTGAAATTCATTTTTTTTACTACCAGTTCCATGGGCGTGGCTTGGTGGGCATGGCAGGGGAAGGATATGCAAAATCTCCATTCCCAACCCACTCTGGGGCCAGCCAGAGTGGTATTTGTTGGTTCTCTGAACTACTCAAAATTTCTGCTACCGGTTCTCCAGAACCTGTCAAAATCTGCTGAATTTCACCCCTGATCCACAGTATTATTTAGTTTGCTAGGGACAGAGACCTATATTTGAGTATCATCAGTGTAAATATACCTCAAATGACGACACCCAGTGGCCTCATGTAATTGTTGAATAGAAGCACAGAGAGCAACAATCCCTTTTGCACCCCACACAGTATGGGACGAGGGTGGAATCTTTTCCCCCAGTCACCACCAATTGGATCAATCTAATGGGTGTGGCCTCCCTTCAATGGATGGCAGAGTGGTATCCATGGTAGGGAGCCGAGGTGGCGCAGTGGTTAGAGTGCAGCACTGCAGGCTACTTCAGCTGACTGCAGTTCTGCAGTTCGGCGGTTCAAATCTCACCGGCTCAGGGTTGACTCAGCCTTCCATTCTTCCAAGGTGGGTAAAATGAGGACCCAGATTGTTGTTGGGGGCAATATGCTGACTCTGTAAACCACTTAGAGAGGGCTGAAAGCCCTATGAAGCGGTATATAAGTCTAACTGCTATTGCTATTGCTATAATCAAGGGCTTGATCTGACCATGACAAAGGGGGATCCCAAAAGCTCCCCCAGTTCCAGATCATCCATCGGACTTCTGTTTATTGTAGGAACATTTTGCAAAGTTACTTGCTTGTGATTCAAAGCCACTGTCAAATATTACAGTTTCTTTTTAAAGTAAGAAAGTTCAACTTCACTTGAGATGTGAGGTTCTGTGGATAAAAATCTCTACCTTGGGATGTTATGATTCAAATGTATCCATTTGTCTGGGAACTCTCTCAGGTCCTAAAACTAATGCGATCTGTTGACAGATGTTCTTATCTAAACCTACTCCTGCTGTGCCTGTTTCCTGTTGTTGCTTATTCTGTCTCAGATCAGTTTCATCTTTTTCAGCTCTAACTGGAAAAGAAAAACAAGAAAGAGTCCATGTCAGTACATCTTGTTTTAACAGGACAATTATGTTGTTGTGCTCTGTTTTCTCATACTATGGGTTACCTTGGTTGCTCCTAATGCCTCTGTTTTCTCATCTCTTTCTAATAAGTAAATCAGTGTAACTGATCTAAAATTTGCTGCAGTGGTTACATTTCTTGTTTTTTTGCAATGCCTTTGGTTTATTGAGTCTCCTTTTCCTTCTTTCAAGGTGCCTCATCTCCTGACCTGGAGTCTAGCTATGGGGGAGGACTATTGGACATGATGAAAGGTGGTGCAGGGAGACTCTTCAGCAACTTAAAGGATAACTTGAAAGACACTCTAAAAGATACTTCTACTAAAGTGATGCAATCTGTTGCAAGGTACTTTGAAACACATCTGTCTGAAGTGCTCAGCAAGCAACACAGTCCTTGTTAAGATGCCTTGCTATAGAAAATGATTAGATGTTAATAGGCTTGTGGAAAGGGAAATTTGATTATTGAGCAATAGAGTAGTGAAATGAAAAGCATTTTAATAATTAAACTCAATTAGCTAAAGTGAAACATAGAATCTGTAACATGGTTACAGACAACTGTCTTACTTACCGTACTTACTTAACTGGCTGCTTTGTTCGGTGACTGTTTAAACTTAGGAAAGAACTGAAAATGTAGGTTTACTTTGGGTCTTCAAACTTGAGGCTATTGCAGTGTTCTTCTATTTCTCAAGTTCTTTCCTTTTCAGGACTGAATTGGCATTTATTTTCTCATCATGTCTCAGTGACTCTTGCATACCTTTTGTCAAAGCCATCTCTGCACATTGTCACAATTAAGTTAATTAAGTTGACATATTCTAAATCCACAGAAATACATGGCAGAATTAATTCAGGAATGTTAGGCCCATGCGATTAGGCTTTTGAACAAGAACTGACAGCTCTAAGTGGTAAGAGGTTCCACTCTACCTCCGTGAAACCAAGGAGTCACCCTTTGGAAATAAGACACTTTTCACAAGAATATATACTTAAATGAATGCTGGATCAGGACACAAAGACCCCTGTAGTCAAGGACAAAAATATCAACGTTGCTGCATTATGAACCATGTTGCCATTCTCAACTGTCACTGTTTCTAGTGGCAGATTGGGATCATACAAGCTCTTCCCTGCTCACAACCACCTGCCATGTTCATTCATTGATTATATGCCATCAAATCAGTAATGATTCTTAGCAACTATATGCATAGATTTTCTCCATTACATATCCATCACACTCATAATATAGTATACCATATTTTTTGGAGTACAAGACACACCTTTCCCTCCCGAAAAAGAGAGTGAAAATCTGGGTGCATCTTATACACTGAATACAGCATTTTTGGCATCCCCCAAACCCTGCCCCCTTCACAAAAATGGATGTGCATAGCCTTTGAGGAGGTTTGTAGAGTGTTCCTGGGGGCTGGGGGGCAAAAGCAAGTGAAAAACGGGCTGTTTTTTGCTCATTCTTGCTCCCCAAGCCCCCAGGAGCACCTTACAAGCCTCCTAAAGGCTATGCATGCCCTTTTTTTGGCAAAAGCTGGGCCATTTTTGCTCATTTTTACCCCCTCCAGCCCCCAGGGGCACTCTACAAGGGTCTTAAAAGCTATGCCCTTTTTTGGACAAAAACAGGCCAATTTTTGCAAAAATGGGCCATTTTTTGCTTGGTTTTGCCCCCTTCCCAGCCCCCAGGAGCACTTCACAGGCCTCTCAAACTGTCTGCATGCCCTGTTTTTCACATAAACTGAGGCATGCAGAGGGTTTGAAAGTCTGCAGAGTGCAAAAACTTTTTTTAAAATTTACCTCTTCAAAATCTAGGTGCGTCTTATACTCTGGTGCATCTTATATTCCAAAAAATATGGTGTGTGTGTGTGTGTGTATGTATGTATATGTATGTGTATATTCAAAATGTTGGTCATTACCAATTCATACCATAAGCCCCAGTTATTTGAGACATTACCTGTCTCCAGTTGCTTCTGCCTATCCGTGGTATTTAGGCAGAGCAGGTGCATTTTAGGTCACCTCAATTAAAAGCTGTCATCTTGTGGATCAAGAAAACACACCTTCTCTGTCACTGCCTCTATCTTATGGTACAGCATTCACTCACAGAGACAGAAAGCTCCTGTTCTCTATGACTTTCAGAAGTACCTTAAGACCTGGATCTCTCCCCCTCTCTCTGTATCTTTGTGTGCGTCTCTCTCTCTATATATCTTTCTCTGGCCAGTTGTGGTTGTGAGAGGAAAAGGAGGGGGAGGAGGTGAGTCCTCTTCTGGATGGCAAAAGTCCTTGGATGGCAAGTTTTAAAGCCATGACTGGGCACTGCGGGCCTGGCCCCCTTTCCATCATCCCCGCCTCCCGGATCCCATTCCCACTGCACCAGCCTTTGTGTTAGCAAAGATGGTGTCAGTCGTGGCTGGGTTAGGCCAGTATCTCTGGGTGAAGAACAGGTTGTGTTTCTCTCCAAGTGATGGAAGCATGCCCAGCACCAACAAGGGCCAGATGAAGCTCCAGCAAGAGTGAGGTGCTGGAAAATTAGCCCTGGCTATTTCTCCATCCCTTACCTTCTCAGGCCAGACAAAGAGTGACTGGGAGGGAACTGCGAGGGGTGGGGCTAGCCAGTGGTGGGATCACCTGACAGGGAGCCACAGCAGAGGGCCCAAAGAGCCTCAGACGGCTCTGAAGCTGTAGGTTGCAGACACAGCCATAGGACATCAACAAGCACAACCAATGCTGCTCTACTGAAAGTTGGCTTAAAACCTGACTGGAAAAGTGTGGAACTTAACAGAAACAATGAATTATTCTACCATAGATTTTCAATGTGTCACAAATGGAATGGAGTGGAGTAGAGTTGAGTAGAATAGAATAGGCTGCTGAACAGTGCAATTAATATAGAATTCTATTTTTTTCCTCTCCTTATAAATGGAGATTTTTTATTAGGTAAAAAAATAATATTTATTAGGTAAATATTACTGTGTTTAGTCTTGATTATAATAAGTATGGGAAATATGATTGGTCCCTAAAATATCCAGTGAATGTAAAAAAAAAGGTGATAATAAAAGTGAATTCTTGATATTTTTTATTCGACAGTTGTATATGTCTGCATTAACCAGAATTTACTTTGTTGTTCTCTTCTGTTTTCTTTTATAGCTATGCCAAGGGAGAACTAGATATTTCTTATATTACCTCAAGAATTATTGGTAAGTGATCAATTATTTGAGTAATAAAGCAATGTAGCAATCTCCAACTTCTCATTGCCCATTTTATTTGGGTTTCACTTCAGAATATATGTTTGTTGCCCCCGCCCTCATTTCTTGATAGTGATGTCATTTCCGGGTGAAGGAGTCGAACTGGGATTTAGGAATCATATTGACGATGTGCGGACATTTCTTGATTCAAGACATCCTGATCATTACACAGTTTTCAATTTGTCACCAAAGTCTTATCGTACTGCACGTTTTCATAACAGGGTAAGTTTTGCTGGTGCAGTGATGTGACAAAGACCACGGTAAAGTTGTGATATTAAAATAATGTGTAGCTGGTGCCATGTCGATCTGCCTTCGAAAAGAAAGAAATGTCATATTGGTGATCAGAATCAAGACAGATTGGGGCAATCTCTAAATTCCATCAATTTCGTCCATCTTTGGATCAATATTTATTAAGACACTGTACAGCAAAAGTTAAAATGTAAAAAAAAAAGATCAGAGTAGAATAATAATAAAAGAATGTTACTACCACCGATTTCAAATTTACAGTAAAAATACTTTTTTAAAATATACTTAATTTATTTCACAGAATGGTTAAATATTAGTGGCTAATCTCAATTCTGCAAACTATTTCTGAAATATATTGCCAAGAAAACTGCAAGGACAACTGCAGTTAAGTCACCAAAAATCAGGAATCAAAGGTATGCGTGCAAAACATGCACACATGAATCAGTTCTGAAGGTTAACTCCAAGGAATTCTAAAACTACTGTATTATAATAGCTATAGTAACAGAATCTTGAAGGTTTGATTGTTTCCTATGTAAGGTATTCCTGTAGAGAGGCCAGATTGTTTAATCAATAGTCATCAAGAGACATAAATGTTCACAAAAAATCTTTTTCTACTCTTTTGGGTTGGAGGGAGGGGACTTATCCATTTTTCTCCGACTCATGGAAGAATATCATTATACTAAAAAATTGCTATACTCTGGATCTTCACATAAATAAGGAGGTTTTCTTTCTTTCCACCATGTATAAGCAAAACAAGTCACATAATAAAAAATAATAATAAACTAATCAAACAAACACCTTGAAGTATTAATTAGCAGATGGAAGTTGCTAAAGTTGAGACTGATAACAGAATTTTAAAATCTTTACATTATCATTTTAACAGACACCTTTATAAATAATATTTCTAAATTAATAACCCATTTTCTTCATATTGCCATTAAATGGATTATAGTATGAAATCCATGCATTGCCTGTTCCTCTTGATTTTTGTTGTTCAGTTGCTTTGTCATGTCCAACTTTTCAGACCTCATGGACCATGGCATGCCAAGCTCCTCTGTCTCCCCAAGTTTGCCCAAACTCATGTTCATAGCGTCACTGACACTATCTAACCATCTCTGTCATCTCCTTATATTTTTGCCTTCAATCTTTCCCAACATCAGAGTCTTTTCCACAGCTTGCTAAATTTCTGAATTCACATAATGTGCTGTGGTTAGGTGTAACAGCAGGGACAATCATTTGTTTCAAAATAGTAGGTGAAACCAAGGTGTTACAGCAAAAACCTTATCCTGTTTTACATGTGTGTAAAGCCATAGGCCTTTTATCTCCTGCATTTTGAAGGTCAGGAGCAGGGGTGGGCTGCTGGGGGTTCGGACGGGTTCAGATGTTCCTCTAGTGAAGGTTCTGTGTGGTTCGGCAAATCCCCAAATCCCACTCCTGGCTGGCCCTGCCCATTCCTCCCCACCCCTTCCCCTCCCTGGAGTCTCCACGCAGCCCATTCATCATGCCAGGTAAGTGCAGGGCCTGCGGGGAGGCTCCGGGAGGGGGGCAGAAATGAGCATACTGGAGGTTCTTGGAAACTCCATTTCCAACCCCTGGAAAAGCAGTTTGTGCCCCCCCCCAGAGGCTCAAGGAAAGCATCCGGAGCCTGGGGAGGGTGAAAAAT